CATGCCTTCGCCGCCGCTCCACCACCCGGTCGCCCCGCCACATCCCTGTCGGAACTTGTCGATGTGAAAATTGGCAGACCTCGGGGTAGGGGTGTTGGTGAACGTGGTAATTTCAAAAAAATTCCTACGATCACGCAAGATCTATCTAGGTGATGCATACCAACAAGAGGGGAGAGTGTGTCCACGTACCCTTGTGGACCGAAAGTGGAAGCGTTTCAATAACGCGGTTGATGTAGTCGAACTTCTTCGCGATCCAACCGATCAAGTACCGAACGCACGGCTCCTCCGCGTTCAGCACACGTTCAGCTCGATGACGTCCCTCGTGCTCTTTATCCAGTTGAGGACGAGGGTGATTTCCGTCAGCACAACGGCGTGACGACGGTGATGATGATGCTACCGGCGCAGGGCTTCGCCTAAGCACTACGATGGTATGATCGAGGTGTGTAACTATGAAGGGGGGCACCGCACATGGTTGGGAGAGAAACTTGTGTGTTCTAGGGTGCCCCCTGCCCCCGTATATAAAGGAGCAAGGGGAGGCCGGCCAGCCCCTAGGGGCGCCCCCCAAGATGAGGAGTCCTACTAGGAATTCCTAGTCCTAGTAGGATTCCATCACAAGGGAGAAGGGGGAAGGAAAGGAGAGGGAGAGGGAGTAGGAAAGGGGGGGGCGCCGCCCCCCTTCCATTGTCCTATTCAGACTCCAAAGGGGGGTGCGGCCTGCCCTGGACTCCCTCCTCTCACTCCACTAAGGCCCATGGTGGCCCATTAATTCCCCGGGGGGTTCTAGTAACCCCTCCGGCACTCTAGTTTTACCCAAAACTTTTCGGAACACTTCAGGTGTCCGAATATAGCCGTCCAATATATCAATCTTTATGTCTCGACCATTTCGAGACTCCTCGACATGTCCGTGATCTTATCCGGGACTCTGAACAAACTTCGGTCATCAAAAACATATAACTCATAATACATATCGTCATTGAATGTTAAGCATGCGGACCCTACAGGTTCGAGAACTATGTAGACATGACCGGGACATATCTTCGGTCAATAACCAATAGCGGAACCTAGATGCTCATATTGTCTCCTACATATTCTACGAATATCTTTATCAGTCAAACCACATAACAACATACATTGTTTCCTTTGTCATCAGTATGTTACTTGCCAGAGATAGATCGCCGGTATCATCATACCTAGTTCAATCTCGTTACCGGCAAGTCTCTTTACTCGTTCCGTAATACTTAATCCCGTAACTAAATCATTAGTCACAATGCTTGCAAGGCTTATAGTGATGAGCATTACCGAGAGGGCCCAGAGATACCTCTCTGAAACACGGAGTGACAAATCCTAATCTCGATCTATGCCAACCCAACAAACACCTTCTGAGACACCTGTAGAGCAGCTTTATAGTCACCCATTTACATTGTGACGTTTGATAGCACACAAAGTGTTCCTCCGGTATTCAGGAGTTGCATAATCTCATAGTCTGAGGAACATGTATAAGTCATGAAGAAAGCAGTAGCAATGAAACTGTAACGATCATAATGCTAAGCTAATGGATGGGTCTTGTCCATCACATCATTCTCCTAATGATGTGATCCCGTTTATCAAATGACAACGCATGTCTATGGTTAGGAAACATAACCATCTTTGATTAACGAGCTAGTCAAGTAGAGGCATACTAGGGACACTATGTTTTGTCTATGTATTCACACATGTACTAAGTTTCCGGTTAATACAATTCTAGCATGAATAATAAACATTTATCATGATATAAGGAAATATAAATAACAACTTTATTATTGCCTCTACGGCATATTTCCTTCAGTCTCCCACTTGCACTAGAGTCAATAATCTAGTTCACATCACCATGTGATTTAACATCAATAGTTCACATCTGTATGTGATTAACACCCATAGTTCACATCGCCATGTGACCAACAACCAAAGGGTTTATTAGAGTCAGTAATCTAGTTCACATTGCTATGTGATTAACACCCAAAGTGTACTAAGGTGTGATCATGTTTTTCTTACGAGAGAAGTTTAGTCAACGGGTCTGTCACATTTAGAGCCATGTGTATTTTGCAAATATTCTATGTCCACAATGCTCTGCATAGAGCTACTCTAGCTAATTGCTCCCACTTTCAATATGTATCCAGATTGAGACTTAGAGTCATCTGGATCGGTGTAAAAGCTTGCATCGACGTAACTCTTTACGACGAACTCTTTATCACCCCCATCATCGAGAACCATTTCTGTTGGGGATATTACCACTAGGCGTGAACCGGCCTGCTTGGGCCGGGATAACTTCATTAGTGGTATGAACAGATGAAGGCCCAAGGCCTGTAGCCGGTTTAGAACCTGTAGCCGTAAACCGTCCTGATGTGCAACTTGTATTGTAAGTTAGGAACAGAGAGATACCAACCGGGATACGAGTATGGACCGGTTGGGACTCTATGGACCGACGGGAGTCACCCGTGTATATAAGGGGACGACCCGGCGGCGGTTCAGGGGGAGAGCGACAACTCGAGTCTAGGCGAAGCTTGTTTGCTCCCTAGCCATCGAGACCACATCAATTCCATCGCAACTAGACGTAGGCTTTTACCTTCATCGAAGGGGCCGAACTAGTATAAAACCCTCGTGTCTTTATGTCCGCTTTAACCCCTTCAAGTAAACTCGTAGCGATGGCTCCACGACTAAGTCCTTTCGCTAGGACATCTGCCGTGACAAATCCACGACAGTTGGCGCCCACCGTGGGGCTATCGCACGGTGGTTTGACGATCTTGGAGGGCAAGCTCAAAGGACTCGAAGGCTATGCTGTGGGCCAGATGACCAAGAGTCGTCATGGCAAGATCTACATCGACGATGCAGGATGGGGTCCCAAGGCCGATTCGATTGAGTACGGGTACCGGGTCCCCTTTGGTGGCATACACGTTTTCATCGGCAAGATCGGTGAGCCGGGGCCTGAGCCGGACATCTGCATCGACCTCGTCGAGACGGCTCAGCGTGCGAGATCTACCCAGGCTAAACCGGCCGTGAAGCGTGCCTTCGTTGGAGTCATCCACGGAGGAGGGCGTGAGGACGAGTCAGAACACGGTAGCGAGACCGTCGTCTATTCCAGCGACGAGTCCTCGACCGGAGAGA